CTGTACCCATGGAGAGTTCCAGTCAGTAAAAGTACAGATAGTCCAGATTCCAGCTAAATGAATATCTTTGTAGCTTCTTACTTTGTTTTGCAGTGCTGTACTTTTTTGCGGAGCCATCAGGGGCCAGTTTCACAGAGCTGCTTAAGCACAAAATTTGCTCAAGCGGGAAAAAACTTTGCTAAATAAACAAAGGTTACCAGCTCAAACTCTGACTGTCATGCTAACCAAAAACAGCTAAATACAATCCCCAAACAATATACATCACACAGAGTTTTCACTGGTTACCTGATTTATCAAGTAAGGTTTTCTTGCACTTGAGCAAATGTTGTGCTTAAGCAGCTCTATGAAATTGGCCCCAGGGTTGTCTGCAAAATGTTGAAAATTCATCATTCATAAACAACAGTAGCTACATGTACAGCGGCCGGGCTAAGGGGGGGAGGGCACCCCCCCATGAAAAATTGTTGCCCACCCATTTGCATATCCAGATGTGATCACGAGTACGTACATGTATGTGTCCAACATCAGACCCCCCCACTTTAGCGCAAAATTTCCGCCCCCTCCTCCCTCAGAATCCTTGCTGCATCACTGTACATGTGTAACCAGAGCCTGATATACTGTATTCATGTATAACTTGGAAAGCTCAGAGTGATTTTTGAACATTACTGCTGTAACCAAGGGAAGTGCGAGGAAGGCAAGGGTGCTTGTCGCCCTCCCCACTGGGAAAAATATGAAAAATAAATAAAATCATAACATGAGGGGGAAAAGTAAAAGCAATGGAAGGAAAAAAGGACATGAAAAGGGATGAAAATCACCATACTTGCTTGAAAAAAATTCGAACTGGACCCTTTCCTACTATCGTAACTGTTTCTTAATTCCAAGCTGATGAGTGGTTCAGTCCTAGAAGTTTTTCCTCCCGGAAAAAGTGGTTCTCCCCTCCTCCTTATGTCATTTTTTTTCGAGGGGCCACAGTTATTCAGAAATTTCTTCCCTTCACCAATTGTCTCGCTGGCTGGATGTCTGCCAGCCTCTAAGCATGCATGCATTCATGTTGTCATGCGGCGGGTGTTGACCCACAGACCAGAAAAAAGGACTTTTGGGCATGAACTTTGGAGAAGTATTACATGTGAATCGCGCACCGTATGCCTTCCTGCTAGACTTAGTTACGGTTCAGTGCACAGCTATGCATGATAGTTTCAGGAATACTTTACTTCATTTTAATTGCTATCATGCATATGAGTTCCTTTTGATTTGTATTAATTAACGGGTGCGTGAACTGTAAAAAGAGTATTCAAGTGCATATGTAGCTCTGTAGTGGAAGCTTGGAGAAATAAGATCACGTCGTCCATGTTAAAAAATGTGAAAGAAAGTCCTTCAGGTTAACCAAGTGACTGTCATTTTCTTGATGATGTGTAATTTATGTATCCCACTGAAGTATGTGTAAGCATGAGAAATCGACGATTTCAAATCGTCGTTCATTTAAGCTTGATATGGCATTCACTCTTGCCCTTAAACACATCACAAAACTGTCACGGCAATCACTGTAGAGAGATGTGAAAAAAAAACCCAGTTCACTCATGTATAAAAGGGGGGGCTCTATCTATACCAACATGATATGTTGGATGTATTGTTCATACATATGAGACCTTCAAATATCACCCGATATGGGGGGTCAATGTCCTTAGCAACAGGGCAATATTTACACTTGAAAACATGGCAACAAGAGACCATCAACACCACATGGGCACTTGTGCGTCTCTACAGGGCTCGATACCAAAATATTTGCACTGCAAGTGGGCTCACACACACCTTGCACCCACGGTTGTGCTTGCATAATATCCACTCAGAGTTTTACAACGTAACTGATAATTCTTGTTTGATTCATCAGTACTCGAGCTCATGACCGTTGACATTTTGTTGATGTGTTCATTGAAAGATCCAGGTGCAGGTACATGCAGCTCTGTTGGTGTCTTAAGCATTGCAATACATCTTCCATAATTCCTTAAGGGCCATCCATAATTCTCCTCATTTTCATAAATTTTCATCGGGGTGTGATCCCTGGCAACATGGTGTTTCATGTTTCATGGCTTCTGGCTAGTGTCCCCCCCCCGAACAGAGATATTGACAAATGGGAAGAACCACCAACGTACATGTAGGGCTGGAAAGCTGAATTGGTAGAGCACTGGTACGGTGTTCCAGCGGTCGCAGGTTCAAATCCCACTCCAGTCAATTTCTTTGCTCATCTTTATAATCATTTTCATAAGTGTACAAAAAGTAGACTTTTTACTACCCCCTCCCCTCCTCTCCCCCCCCCAAAGTCAACATCAGCGGGCAAAAAATGACAACGGATGGCGAGCTGACGGATCCTTCGACGGATCATCATTTCTCATATTCAGACAAAATGTACGCAAGGTCTTTAACCCCCCTCGTCCCTATCGTTTGAATGCTGGTGAAAATGAGGATGAAAACTACGGACAGCACCGTAAGATTTACCCAGCCCCAATCTCAGTTGATAAGTTCACAGTAGTTAATATATTAACCAGTCCCTTTGTTGATTTGAAAGTCACCACTGCAGTGTGTGATAAGAATGTACATGTGCACCTGGATACATGTTCCAGGATACATGTATATGGCTAGATCTTTTTATGTCGCTGTGTCGTTTATGATGGAGTGAGTTACACTCGGCATACCCCCCTCAGGGAAAATACCTTTTCCATGAGGACTTTTGCTGTCAGCTGATGAACTGGGTATTTAACAATTTACAGACAGATGCCTTGTTTGTCCGGCTTCAGCTCGATTGGATGGGATACCCTCCTCCCCTGTTGAACATGGGTACATGTTCCCCCCGTCCCCCTTTGCAAGCTATGGATCTTTCACAGGACTCAGTCGTGAGATTTTTGCACTTGTGGGAAGGGTCACGGCATGAAGTGCTTTGTGGGTGTATTTATATGTAATTGTATGTATTTCCAGAAATGTTAATTTTTCTTCATCACTAACAATTAAATTCAGCGGTAAATTCATGCTTTGATAAACGACCATTGTGATATTTTCAGGGGTTCTGGAAAAGATCTAAAAAGAGAGAACAATAAAGTCGAAATGTTAAAAACTTAATTCCAAAGACTGTATGGTGCTTATTACTCATCAAAGTTTGACCTCCATGTAATAAATTTCAAAGTTTGAAGTACATGCTGACTTACAGATGGATTGATATGCCTCGTACTGAAAAACATCTCGATATATATGTCATAGTACACACTACGCAGAGCAGAATAAACACGTTGACAAAGTAGTGTCCTCTTGCACTTTGTTCTCCAAAATGGTTGGAGGCATCGTTCCCGTCAACACAAAGAAAATATGAACAAAGATATAACCGTAAGCTCAGATAAGAGTGGCCCAATTTACAAAGGATCATTTTTGGAGTGTTTTGATCAATTAATCATTTAATGCTGAACGCAGGCTACAAGGCAGCATGAAACGTTGAAGCTGTTCCCCATTTTGGGAAGCGCCAAATTACTCCCGTGTCAGGCTATCTATAGCCAAGAAATTCGATTATACAGCAAAGATGTGAATGTCACACATTGGTGTAATTGATTTCTTCTTGGCTGGCCAAGAAGTCTTTTCATCTGCGGCTGCTCAGCATCTCAGCTGCGCTTTACACATTGTTACCTCCATCTACTGATGTTTTTCTTGTTACCAATTATTTTTTTTTGATTGTACGCTGGGCATGTAATCCTGCTACTGGAAATTTCAGCCATAATGCGGCCGCACCACTCTCACACAGAGGCCCACACCTTTATGTGTCTTTTACAAATAGGCCTTACGGTGTTGGGATGTGACTTATTGCAACATGCACCTTAAATTTCAGAATGATGTTTGCACGGATGTGTTACATTGGCATCTGCTCAGATCAGTCCGTTTTAAGGCCTTAGGTACATGTACATGTACTGGTACGTGCAATGATTCCAATGCCGGACGTCACCGTAGGCATACATGTACGTGCAATAGAAATGTGCCATTTGACATGCAGTGTGCAACCTCATTGACGAACAGTGCTAAAAGTGTTGATCGATTGCCACAAGACCGAATCAGTTTTTGGATGTATGTAGGCTGTGGATCTTAGAAGTTGCACACATGTACTTCCACCTTCTGATCTTAATCATTTTGCCTGATGTGGTAGATTTTGACTTGAGTATACCAGAAAGTTCATGCTCGGGTAGCACGCCTAGGATGGCCCCTCCCGACTATGACAATGTGGCTAGAGTTGGACATGGGCAAAACCTACTTTGTAAATGTGGCACAACTTACCAAGTACCCATGGTCTCATCAGATGTGGACACACAAAAGATTTGGGTCTCGAGGTGATTAGTCCCTGATTCATGATGAACCAAATAATTTATCTTGAAACAATGACTGTTTTTCTTAACTTCAATCACTTGCACATTATGTTATTGTCTTGGTTCATTTTCCCTACATTCAGTTTACAGCCATATGTTGAATATTGCATCCTGATCTTTCAGAAGTAGCAGAGCGAATATGATTTTGACCGGGAAAGTACCATTATTTTGAGGGTAATTGTGTCCTGTAACACCATTCATGGGTAATTCCAGAAATTAGCTAGGTCCAAAAGTGTGACAATTTTGTGTCTCTATTAAACCTGACCTTTGTTATTTGATATGGAAATCACTGGAATCGATTTCAAACTATTACTATTTGTTTGGCAGGTCTTTTGCTAAATTTATCACTCCTGGACAATGTGATGTGTTCTGAACTTACAAAATCATATGTCAGGTGTGACAGGGACACGAATAAAAAAGGATCCCTAATTCATGGAACTACCCTCATACCATTGATATTATGAGCGATATTTGAGAATGATTATTTTCATGGTAAACAGTGTTAATTTTTGGAAGGACATGTTCTGTTCTGTTGCATCAAATGTATACAAGATTGGTTGATTTTATGTGAACTTACCACCCTTTTTGGATTGAAATTTCTTGATTCAGTACCTCCCAAAGATCAAGAGGCAGAGAAAGAGGAGGAGAAGAAAGACGAAGAGAAGCCCACAGAGGACAGCCAGCCTGAGCCGGTGGATACGAGGACAGAGGAGGAACCAGCACCGGCTGAACCAGGTAAGGCCATCTTGAGCATCATTGGACAAGTGGAAAAATCCCTGTCGTCTGATTGGTGGGTTCTGGATCAGGTGGTGTTGAATTATTCATCCCGGCTCTCAGCCACAGCACGAAAGTAGTTTATAAATGATGTATGTTTGTGAGTGTAGTGGAAAGAATGACTTCATGAGGTGACAGGTTGAATGTTCTATGAGGAAACGACAAAGGATCATTCATTATTTGTTTTACACCAAGCCAGACTAAATCCTCTCTGTGTATAAGTCGTCGTTTTGCTGTCTCAGCTTTTGGTGTAAAAGCGTGACATAATGTTGTACATTCCAAGCTGCGACTGGAATTACATGTATGTCTCTCTGTTTGAAAAGCTGGGGCCGTGCCTTCCCTGCGCGTATGATAAAGTGTCCTTTGCTTGTTTGAAGAGCGGCGACTGTGCCCACTACATACAGACACGTACATGTACAGACACGTACATACTGTAGGTCAGCGTCATATTCAACAGAGTATATTTAACTGTCTCAGTTTGCTTGTGTGAAGAGCTGGGACTGTGCCCACTGTGTACATAGTTCAAAGTTATATTTAACGGGATATATTTAATGGCCGCAAGGTTGAATATACCGAGTAAGTCAGTGACATATGATCAACCACTAGCGTGACAGGGATTTTTCTCGTTTAAAGACGTCTAATCCCTGAACACATTTTTTGAACTTGTAGCTGTGGTAGGAATATCCTGACAGTTGAGTGCCGGGGTATACAGGAACGAAGGATGAATGTTTGATATTCATGCAGGAAAAAAACGTTTCGTTCAGTGGCAGAAACTTCGCTTTGCCTTGTGGAGTAGAACACTTTAGCTGCTACTGAAAGACGTCATTTCTTCCATCGCGCAAACGCTCCATATGTGTATTTGTACATGAGAGAACTGATTTACTGTACATGGGGGAAGGCATCTTTGTGCACAAACCGATGGAAAACTCCAAAGTCAGTACGGCTAATCATCTGGCTATTTACACCCATTTATCTGCATTTGTATATTGCACCTGTGCATTTTCACAGCTGATGAACCCTGAAATGCACACCCCAGAAACACTCATTTGATAAATGAGCATTTCATTTTGCTCTGCGCCAACATTGCATTTGTGCCGCAGGTGATTTGGCCGTTCCTTTCAATGCATCATACAGAAAATGCGCTTAGGACACCGTTCACGCGTGTTGTCAATGTTGCGGTGTATTTAGAAAGTAGGATTTGAAATTCATTCCATCTAATTTCATTTTGTTCTTTAAACGTACGGATGATTTCAGAATGTCTGTACTCATAGCAACTTTAAAGTATCTCTGTCAGGGAATGAAGAGTGATAGTGCTCCGGTAATTAAATAAATTTCTGTTGGTGTGACAAGTTGAGTGCACTTTTGTGGGAGAATTTTTTTTTTTTTTACAAAAAGATTTTTGACGTTAGTAAAGACGAGCTTGATCGAAAATGTAAAAATAAGAGAAGAAAAAAGGAAACAAAAGTTGGGCGAGAGAAACTAAGAGAACGAAGAACAGAGATGACAGTCAACAATTTATCTGAAAATGCTTAGAAATCTACCCCCATCCACAGTTAATGGTTCAACAGTTTGCTGCTGGGGAGTGCTCCTCCAATAGCCCTGCCAACCCCCCCCCCAAAAAAAGAAAAATCCTGGTGATGTCCATGATCATGAGGCCAAATTTTCACACAAACCAACTACATGCATGAACAACATGAGAAGTTCTAAAAGTACAAATGTATTCTCAGGGGAATCGAGGGGAGGGGACATTTCTCCTAACCTTTAAAAAGATGGCTATATTTGGCCCCTCCCCCACGCACACACCACTTTCTACCACACCATTTGAGCTACGAAAAAAATTGCCCCCCAAATAATCTTTGTTTGCCCCACTTTCAAAACTGTTCTGCTGCCACTGTTCTAATGTCAATTAATGCAGAAAAGGTCATTTGAATGCACTTTTTTCCTTCAAGTCTCGATCCCATGTGTCTCACCTGATAAGAATTTTACAGTAACGTGAGCAAATGCTTGACCGTGGTGACGAGAGCCACACATGCAGAAGGTTGCAAAGTGCAAGAGTTCCTGCAAGAGTGCGCTGTCTGTGTCATAGCAGCATGGAAGTTAATCAATCAGGCTTTATTCCCTCACTAATCAAACATGGGACAATTCCTTTTGATTCAGAAAAAAAAAATTATGAAAAAAAAGTTCACACTCTCTGCATTGTGAATTGAATTTCAGGACTGTATGTTGGCCTTTTATATTGGACAGAGATTCAGAGATTAAGATGAATTCAAGATACATCTCAGGACTGTATATTGGCCTGTGATATTGGACAGGGAATCTGAAACTTTGATGAATTAAAGATAAATTTCAGGATTGCATATTGGCCTGCAAATCAAAGATTAAGATGAGTTAAAGTTACATTTCAATGTATTAAATGCCTATTGGCCAGGGAATCAAAGGGACCAATAAGGTCCCTCTCACCCCAAAAAAGGAAGCAATCACCAATGTGTTGGTGTTTTAAATACAACAAGAGAAGAATGGCTGTTAGCATAGGTACATGTACATTTCACGTCCTTCCTTAAGTGCGTTCAGAGAAGTAAAATTCCTCACACCTCGGGATACTTACAGGATCTGCTCTTTCTGACAGTTTTCTCACATATTCCTAATGTATCAGTTTGCCCATTGCAAGGAAAAACAAACATTCCTAAAGACGAATCCAGGATAGCATTGATTGATTCCTGATCTGGTCCACAGAACCGGAGCCTGCCCCAGCTCAGGAGGAAGCAAAAGAAGGCACTCAAGGAGATCAAGCAGCCGAGCAGGATGAAGTAGCACCAGGTGAGATGCTCAGGACAGCCCAAGATAGTCCCTGATTCTGGGGACATCTTTCAGGAATTTGATTCACAACACCTGAAATATCTGCAATTGTGTATCTTTCCGGCATGCTCATTTAAATGACGTGAAAATTCACTCCACCAGTCTAAAACTAGGAAAATGATGTAATTTAAGTGAGGTTCAATCAAATATTTGACTTCCGCTTTCGAAAGTATACAGCGTAAGGTCTTTCTTCACAGTGTTCTAAATGAAATTTGTAAAGTCTTAAATTTTACAACATCCTGAAAGGAATTTGCAATATTTGTAAATTGCCCATTGCATAGTATACGCGTAATGTGCAGGACAGCTGTACAGTGAATATGCATGTACATACTTTCATCATTAATAGCCAAACTGATTCACTCCAGATGAGATCTGCCTCATATACTTTATTCTTCCCCATGTCACCTTATTTGGGTTTAATATCCCCAGTGAGAGATTACTTCAGACGTATTTACGACTTGAATGTCATAAAACTCTTTCTTTTTTAGAATCGCTGACAGTGTTAACCTTAACATCCGGGTTGCAGTTTGTAGACTGAAAAGTAGGTTGAATAGAAATGGTCTTCAATGATACTCAGACAAAACAGCGAGCAATAAATTGTTCAGAGAAAATTAGCAGGACAAATATTGTTTGTTTTACCTTATGAAGCAAACAAACCCGGCCAGGAAAATGGAGTGACATCTGTAAAATAAATTACAAGAAGAGACAGAATTTTCTTCATCTTGTGTAGACAGGTCTTTTGATTATTTTAAATTTTGAATGAGTTGCACCTCTTTAAGAGGAAAAACAAATCTTCTCGTGAGCCAGTTAATCAACAATCCACAAATGCGAGAAAAAACAGTTTGACCACAAAATGTTAAACAAGAAATCTTGCTCTACTTCGCTGACTCAAAACTCAATGACTTTTCATTTATTTCGGGCAGTCCAAGTTATTTGTCGGTTTGTGAAGTTAGAGAAATCCTGGACAGTGCGATTGACGCAATGTCCTTGATGTGATATTTTGCCTCTGTGCAGGTTGCCACAGCAACCACTCCCCAACACCCAAGGCAATTCGCTGAAAGTGTGTATATCATTACCCTGCGGTTGCTGTGTGCTGTTTTAAGAGTTCTGTGTGTGTGCGTTTGTCACCAGCAACCACATCACTGCATAGCTTCAATATGAATATTCATCAGCCCGCATTTAGTCTTCGTTTGCCATCTGTTTGAAAGCATTATTTTGTCAAAAGAAGCTTTTTGCAAAGCAGTCTCTGTGTTACCCTTGATAATGTAGAGATCCCCTTGCCTGGATTTCATTACGTGACACTACAGCTGTGCAAAAATTTTTTTTTCAATTTTACGATTTACTTGTATGTTGTGTAATTTGGCGATCAGAATTATAAACAACGAGGCATGATGCTTGCCGACAAGTGAAAAGTAGGCCTTGCATGCCTTGTCGACCTAAAGAGTGCTGTGACTGGCCAATATCACACAAGCCTCAAGCTGAAGAAAATGTGCACGAACACGTTGCCATACCAGTTATAGCGTGTCCTCAGATTTTGGCCGTGTGTTTATGCTTTGAGCATTTTTCTTTCACATACGGCATCACATGTTTCCCATGCAGGTGTAAGACAATGATCTAGTCTTTTTAGATAAACAAATTCCAGAATTAATTAACTCCCATCAGCAGAGGCAGTTGCCACAGTAGAGGGAGGAGAGGACCCACAGCCTGCACAAACGTGTGGTGAAAATGGAGAGTTGGTACATGAAACAGTGGTTGAGTCCGTGCAGCCTGAAGACAGAGCCCTAGAGGACCCCCAGAACTCAGACCATTCACAAACAGAACAGTTAACCAACACGCAGGACACAGCAGATGGGGCCCATAAGAAAGATGACGATTCCGGAGAGGCCGTCACGGAGGGTCAGGAAAGGGTGACAGACCCCGCCGCAGAACCCCCTACAGAGGAGGGTGGGGATATGGGCAGACAAAGTGTCACAGACTCCAAGACGGATCCAGCGACTGAAGGTGATGAACGCTCGCCATCTCCTCCACGCATTCTGCATGATAAGACATCTATTCATACATGATCATTATCAACACATTCAACAGCACCCAGAGTGCATTCTCCTGCTGTTTTTTCCCCTGTTCATCATCGCATGACTTCGCAATCGCCTGTTAGCTTGTCACCTGTCGGCTTGGCTTTGTGCGGTACCATCTTCCTCTTTGCGAAATCTTTTTTCATTGCCTCATCTTCCAACTGATCTGCAGCTCACATTGTCCATATACATTTCTACATGCATATGCGTACATACCAGTGTGCTGTGAACTTACAGCTCCATGGTGATAGTAGTATAGCTACATGTACACATTTCATTTTTGCTGCTTTTTGATGTGAATTTGAGCATGTGATGTGAGACAGCAGAATATGCCACCGTAACAAACATTTTTATGATGATTTGGTCGTTGACACGTACAAGCATTTGGCTATAAATGCACTTTCTGGAAAGTACATTCTACTAGACATTACCAAGGGCAAATCCAGGGCCAAATTTTTTTTGGAGGGAGGCCAAAATTGTGGTTTTTTTGGGGGGGGGATGGATAACGTGCAGATTCTTTTTGTAATTTTTATAGCCTTTCCGGAGGGTGAGGCCAATTTGTATTGAACATTTTTTTGTGATTTTGGAGAAGGGAATTGCTGGGGGGGGGTGGAAATGTCCCATAGATCCTGTAGCCCCCCACCCTAGGCCCACAAGTTGATATCAAAGTATGGAATAATAAATATAGTTTGCTTTATTGTCCTCGGAATGTTCTTTATGGTGGTATTCTGTTAAGCTTGACGACGTGTAGTTTGTACAATATAGTTTCATGTGCATGCAATGTCTGCAGCTCTCGGTCGTTACAATGTATGTTGTTTCTCGAACCACCCCCCCTCCTTGTACACAAGGTATGTGCAGTGTCAGTAACTCTTCTGCCCCCTTTCCCCTCCGGCGAACCTACCCCCCCTTCTATCGAAGATGATCCAGAGAGCTTCTCTCTGACTGTGCTTTTCGTTGCATTTGATGGTCATTTTGATGACATGTTATAATATGGATGACTCGGAATACAGTGCGCCACCAAGAGGTTGTCACAAAGAGGCCATTAGCTTTACGGTTTACGACCAAAAAATGGGCGACTTGCCACGAGCAAATGTCAGTAGACAATTTATTAAATGCGTGATGGGTTGGGGCATTCCGTGCCTCATAAAAATTACCATTTTTATATTAATACGGATGCTCCAAACAATTCCAGAATCTTCAACCCAGGGAAAAAAGTCAAACAATTCAGGTTGTCCATGCCCAGTGCAGTCGACTTATAATCGACCATTTTCTAACAGTGCACTGTGAAAGGGGCATCTCTACGACCACCTCTTAAGCCCTGTCCGCACTGGAATTTTTTGGGTCAAACTTACTGAGACGATGGGTACTTTTCTCATTTTAAGTCCAGCGTAGACATCCCGGGAAGTTTTCCTCGTGGCTATTTTTACCAGGCACGGTTGTTTTTACTGGCCAACATCTGCCCAGGAAAAATTCTTGAGTCACTTTTCCACGAGACGGAAAGTCCAGCGCTGACAGCTTGAGTCGGTTAAAGCATGGATAGTGGCTCAGGAGAGCGTACATCCGACCCCGAGCACAGTGGAATGCTGCACACAGTTCAGAGATTAACTGCCATTTCCAGATGAAAATAAGGATAGTAACATTGTCTATTAAAGGATAACAACAAATGCAGAAAAGTCACACAAAGTAATCTCATACGTCATCGCAATGACAGTTTGATTACTTCTCCTGCAGTTTTGAGAAAATTTTCCTGTGTCAATAGTTCAAGTGCAGATAGTGGTCACATTTGACCATTTTCATTTTACAAGTTGCTCAGTAAACCCTTGGGGGAAAGAGTCCAGTGTCGGTATGGCTTTAGTGGTGCACAGCATTGCGAATCCCCGTCAAATCAAGATTTGAGGCAAATTCGATGCCCATCTGGGTTCACTAAAAACAGGAAACGATGGCATACACATGGCCATGGACTCCTGTGTTTCTTTTTTCTGAATTCAAATGAACTCAGATCCACCGCAGCTGAGTACACCAATTTGGCTTGTGTGGAGAAATCAGATACGATGAGTTTCAGAACAAAATTTGTACCCACTCAGCCAAACAGGCCTCCACTAACCAGGGAAAGAAAATTCATCCGAATTGTTGCCCGGAGCTGTTTGCCACCGCTGTTTTTCTTCCATCATATCCAGGCAAGGACAAGCATTCTGCCCAGCATACGGAATCAGAAATAATTGTAAGCGCAAAAAAAGAAAAAGTGAAATTCGGGCCATGCTAATTTGGAAGTGCAACTCGGGAAAAAAAAGCAAACCCTCAAGGGCCCATTGTCAGCATCTGAGAATGCTGTCACTCATTAGCGAGCAGTTGCATCCTGTGATTGAATGCCGGGACTGTATTTGTGAACAATACGTCTGTGTGCACGGCTTTTGCAAATGGTTATAATTATCGCCTATTATCACTGTGGGTCTCTTGTCTGGGACATTCTGTGCAATTTCATTTTTTACAGCTGTAGACTTGAAGTTGTAATTTGCATGTCAGATGAAGCATGTTGATGTATTTCGGATTGAATTTTTCAATGTTCTTGTGCTCCACTGTATCAACTGTGCAATGTTGCTCTCCGCTCATTTTTAAAATAAATAAAATAAAATAAATGCACTCATGGCATAAATTTTCCAGGACCCAATATTATCAAGTTGTACCGTTGGACTGGGCCTCAGTAGATTCAGAGCCCCCTTCTCTAAAAAGCCAGGATCTGCTCCCCCCCACCAATAAGCTACCATCGGTTTCTGGTTGGTAGAGTTTGAATTGGCCCTGTTGGATGTTGGAAAAGTTTATGTCTCAAAACAGAAATGCATTTTTTACATTCAAAACCTTGTTACTGGTAGGTCTTTGTATGATATAACCACAATCCTTGAATATGCCAAGAAAAAAAAATAAGCAGTGAATTGGACGGCTCAAAACCTAGGAAAAGTTAATTTGGGTAGCATCATATTCATCAGTTGCGCCTTAAGTGACGCACATGATGGCACATGGTGGAGCACCACATGGCATGCCGTGCACAGACTTTGTGCACTCCAGTCAGTCCGGGGTGCAGACTATATGCACAGTATGCCACCTGGTGGTGCAACTGACGACTTGATCTGCATTCTGTGTAGTGAATCCTCTTACAATGGGCATTGTAAGGGTGGAGAGAGACATTGTCCCCCCAGTAAAACGGAAACTGAAAAGAGGCAAAAACTCTATAAAAATGGAGGAAAGGGTTATGAAAATCACTTATTTGTGTGATAACACCTTAGAATTGACCCTCTTTTTCCGTTGATAGTTTGTTAGTTAGCTGCTGATGGGTGCTTTGACTGCTCCCTCCCTGCCCTCCCCCCCAAAAAGAGCTTAATCTTAGCTTAAACCTTAAGCTTAAACCTTAAGCTTAAACCTTAAGCTTAAACCTCCCATTCTGCCAACATCCATGCCTGTCACATTTCTTGGTTTATTTCAAAGTGTACGTAGCAACAATTTATAATCAGAAACAATTCACGCTGACACATGTTCCAAATCTAATCTTCAGACAGGTTTGTCCAGGGCCGTTTTCCAATACTCAACTTCGGCTCCGTCTCAGGTTTCAATTGTTTTGTTTTTACTAGATGACTTTGAAGCTGTAAACGTAGTAATCAGTCTAATAGTGCCACAGAACATCAAATAAGATGCAAGAAAGCCAAAATTTACAGTAATCCAAAGTAATTTAAACGCTCGAGGCCCACAATCGGGGATTGGTTTGGGGAATGAAGCCTGAGACAGAGACAAAGTCAAGTATTGGAAAACGGCCCAGGGTTGTGTCAGAAAATCTAACAGAAACGAGGAAGATTTGTAAGTAATGAAAACAAAGCACAGTATGTGGAAAGAAAAGAATTTTTCTTTGCATTTGTGCCAATCCCCCCTCCCCCCAAAGGGACCCACCCATTTCAGATACCCTGAAACATAATTGAACATTAACATTCTAACTTGCATTGCGCACAAATTGGAAATCTATGAATGTGGTGCGAAAACATCAGATGCATGTTGCTATTGTGTGCTGTTGCTATGGTGCCAACACGTACGTAATAATCTTTGGTTTTTATTGAGCCGACGTTTGACTGATATAGCAACATCAATGCCTTTCATTGACTCTTTTTTTTTTCACTGGAATTAAGTCCTTGGTAAAAGTACAAGATGACTGGTTTTATTGACTATAAAGAAATTGACTTTCTTAAAGATAAATGTTAAGACCACTTCACATTGAAAATGAAGGACATTAAAACTGATGAGTCGCCGTGGCCATGTGGTCCTAATATTTTGAAAACTATCGAGTGTGATTAGCTGTGGAGACTGTATGCTCATGATTTCATTTCATCTAAACTGAGGAGTTGGATTTGCGGGTGATGAATCAATTTGCTTCGGGATGCTCTGTATTGCAAGGGAAATAAATTTCTGGCTTTAGGTGGAAGTGTTAAAGTATGGCCCAACACCACCTTCGCAACTTTTGAGTTGCAGGGCTTAAGCAGAATCTTGTGCAGTGGGTCAATATAGGAATTATCCACATTTTTCATCCACTTTATTTCCATTGATATCAGGAAGCCAAATTGAGTGATACATCAAAACGATTTCAGTTTGCTCTTTCTTATGCACTCTAAAACAGCATACCTGAGAAACCTTTGAGACTCATTACGTTGGGTCGTGTCGAAAATTTGTACACAAATTTGGAAATGAAAGTTTGTTTTTCGTAGATAGCTTTCATCTGGCATCCAAATCGAAAAAAATGGACACATTCATAACTGGTTGTTAATGAAGCAAAGAAACACTTGGTCGCTGCTTAAAGGGAAACCTTTGGAAATCCATGATTTTCAGTTGCTTGTTCTTAATACAGAATGCAAATTCCTGAAGACAAGAATATCTTCATGTCTCCAAACCTAAGGGTTCGAGAAAGGGAATCATCTAAAACAACATTCACTGGCATATTTTGTCAGTGGGCAGTGTGTCATTGCTGTCAAGATCTGATGCACAGTGCACTGCCGTTGCATATTTGGTACATGGATATGTACTGTAAGCTATGTTACCCCTCAAAGGGGGGAGCAGGTTAGCGTAGCGGATCTTTCCTCGCTTTGCACCAATGAGGCCCAGGTTCGAGTCCTGGCTTGGCCCAGGCTTTAAACCCATTTGGTTTCCAGTCTATACATGCTCTTGCAGGTTTTCACCGGGTACTCCGGTTTCCTCCTGCCTCTAAAACTGGACCTTCTTCCTAACTCCGTAATGTGATGCTGATTAATAAAGTGTATGAATAAACGTACAGTTATTGGCGCAAATAGCCTGAGTTGCTGAAAGCGCCATTAAAACAAAACAACAACACCCCTCAAAACAACCAAGAAACAAAGGGATTTGAATTATGTTAAAGGATCAGTCAGTTGTATATTGTTCATCTGACCCGTCAAATTATGCAGGTGCATGAGAGATGAGAATTATTATTTTTCTCCCAAAGAAGATAAGAATGGCTTTATAATTGGGTTGTGGGTTTCAGTAGTCTTCTTGACAAATTTATAGTGCTCTGCCCTTTTTTCCATGCTTAAAGCTTTGAGGCAAATATGAAGGAGGAAAAAATGTAATTGTGATGTGATTGTGGACGGACAAAAGTGAAAAAGACTTTGTGTCTGAACATGCAGACACAGACTATAAAAAGACCAATGCACTAAACACGTCTGTGTGGTTCGTCTGGCAAAAGAACCCATTCAGTTTCCCTGATAAGTCATCAGAATGGGAGATGGGAAGATTTAAACTCGTGCGTTGTCATGGTTATTTGGTGGCGTCATGTTGTGGCTGATGGGCTGTCCTGTGGAGATAATTGTTTGCGACAATGCGGTGGTGGATTCATTGGTCCTTCTTCCCCAAAGAGGATGTCCTCACAGTTGTCAAAGCAACATGCAAATTTCTTCCTAAGGAGCCAAGGCATGAATTTTTTATGATGTGTCGTCACTCCTTCCTTAACTTTGCAATTACAATGCAAAGTTAGATCTCTCTTGCCCGTTTGTTTCTGTTTTCTGAACATAAAGGGACAAAATTAATCAAAAAATGCCTTCGTGCTGGCTTTTTGATCATAGTGTCAAAATGAAATAGTTGAGGAAAGGGTTACTGTAACACTGAAGCTTAACAGCTGGTAGTTAAATTTTAAAGATAAAAAATGAGCATGTCATTTTTCTATGGTTGTTTGTGCATGCATGGTGGTTGCACTTCAGAACATTGGTTCAGCCTGACTGCCCGACATGTAAAAACTCAAAATGCATGAATATTTATCAGTATTCAGTAAGAAGAAAGGACAGTGAAGGACTCTCACTTGTTTCATTCCCAACTGATGGGCATGTTATTATTGCTGAAGGTTTGCATTTCATTGCGGTTTTTAACATCCAGTCTTTCATTTTCTAGCAACCTAATTTGGAATCTTTTTTTCCATTGAGGTTCATTTTTCTTTGGCATGGAACATTGCATGTTGTAAAGTACCCCTTGCATCGCTGGTGTATGGTATTCATGCGCTCATAAAGTACTTCGGGGAACCCATTCTAAAAGCTGTAAAATGTGAAATTTGGGAGTGGTAGGTGTGAAATTAACCCCAACCTTCCCCTTTTGTTCAAAATCCATCAGGAGGGATTTTTTAAGAATGAGTAGGCTTGGGGAAGGTAAAGCCCAACCACTTTGTGTTTACAAGGGGCGTGACCCTCCTTAGAAATGTTCCACTGGTCCCCTGCACAGTGATGGATTTTGGTAAGTTGGTTCCTGCAGCAATATTTGGAAAGTTTGGCATCACCATAGTTATCAGCAGCATGAGTGTTGTTACCGTACTAACTATAGTATATGTATTAGTGTTGGCATTACTGTAAACAAATCCAACAACATTTCATTAGACATTCTCGTGGCTTTTTCAAAATGGTAGAGAGCATTTACTTTGTTGGGTTTTGTACAGAGCTACTGTTTTGGGACAGAGGCTGTTCATCAGTTACCACAATGCTTTGTTACCATGGTCACCGGATTCGTCTGCTGTAAGCAAAACATCGTGCGTGTCATAACAAAATCATTTGTCTGGCGGGAAGTATCATTATGGCACTGAAATCTCATTTTCTGCTGATTTCTTCTCTTAATTTCAGAAGCGTAAGCTCCAAATGAGCTTCCTGATGACACCATACGGCCCGTGAATGAAGCTAAGCTCAGTGACTAGCGACCCATAAAGGATGGAATTTGTTTCTTTTTCGTTTTTAAAAGGGGTGTACATATTTTTTTGTATATTAAAGGGTCACGAATATTTCAAGAGAATCTCTTTGTATATAGTTTCTGTACAAGAGAAAGCCCGGTGTGATGACTCACGTTGTTAGAATTTGTTTAGAAATAGAATAATCATGCAAGAAGTTAAACCCCCTCATTCCCGGCCCTAAGCCCCTCCCAGAAAAAGTTATCACTCCTCCTCACTAGTTTTCCCCTCTTCAAAAATGAATCCCGCATTTCGAGAATGCATCTTGAAAATGTGAATACAAGGTCTGATTACATATTAGGTGTATGGTCAGACGCACAACAGGCTAGGAACTGCATGTAGACAAAATAGATTCTGCACAAAAGTATGAAGGTGAGCTTGCCTTCAGGGCTCGGGTTCTATTAGACAATTCAATACTGGAGTGTTAAAAATTTAAGGTTATTATAAACCCTAATTTGGGCAGAAATGTAAGAGATATGCCTTATAGACATGATAGAAGATGAAGCCACACATAAATGTCTTTCCCAGTATTTGCGGGGGACCCAATTTCAGTCGGATTCCCCAACGTAGTGTATTCATTTGAAAACGTTAAATAAAAAGAACCAGACTCTATTCTACGATTTCAATCTGACCCCCAGAATCACCTGGTACCATCACTGGCAGCGGAAGGGGAGGGGGCAGGCAGGCCAGTGCCCTCCCCCCGCCCCCCACTTTTTCAACTGGGGGCAGGGCCCCCCTTTTTGCAGGGCCTGTAATGGGGTGGGTTTAATGGATCGGCCTAGCAATGGCTGATGCCTGATAGTCTAACAACTGCCCCCCCCCACCTTTGAAAATCATTCTGCCACCACTGGGTACTATCCCATTAAGGGTTTCAATTTCAAATGTATACAATACATTAAAGAATACAACTGAAATTGGGTACCCCGAATACAGTCAATCATTGTCACCGCTGTAAAACCAGGCACGATTCTCCGCACACAACTTTGCTTTATTTCGTAGTTGTCAGCGTAGTCTGCAAATACGCAAGATTTTCCTTTTTACCTTAACAGTGGAGTATGTTCACCTCATCTTGTCTAGGAATATCCCGTAACGCAGTGTTTCCTGTTGAAACCCGAGATTTGCTACATTTACCTGTTCCCAAGCTCACATTGGACAAAACATACATGAGATTGAGAGTGTATCTAGTAGTATAATTGGCAGTGGACTTTGAAATGGGTAGTGTTTTACAGCTTTCCCACTCTCAAATCACCTGTGCCTTGAAAAACTGTTGTAACTCAGAAATAAAATATAAACATGCCAACCTACCGATATGGCCCGCCGTGAACTGTGTTGAAATGCTGCACTTGCAGTGATGAACCAAATGGGCCGTGGATGAACCAACTCCTTTTGCCCACGTTTTGGCAGTGAATAACCAGGGTTGAGTCCATCAAAAATCCAGTCACAAGACCAGTCATATGACCAGTCACACACAGCAGGACGAAAAGTGACAAAGGAATGTTTTTGTCACAGTTCATTTCAACATTTTAATTGTGACCCGGTTTAAGACGCTGACCAGCAGGGACTTGCGATGGAGTGGACACAGCCCACATTGTAACAAGTATGGGCAAGATCGAACAGTATTGGTGTTAACTGGTACACGTACAGGTTTTGTGTGTGTGCAATGTTTTGGATACCATGCTGGTTTAATCAGGTTTTAAAAGAATGCTTAATCAATAGATATTATACTCATGCTCTTTTTGCAACAATTTGTAGAATATGTGTAGTTATGAATACAAAAGATCTATCGTTTCCACGGGTAAAGAAGTTTATTTGATATGCTATTTTAACTTAAACTTGGATCAAAACTTCAAAAAACTTAAGATAGTTGTTATTAACTCTCAAATATGCACGAGTCAGAATGATGGAAAATTATATTTTGATGTATAAAATGGTCGCTGTGAAGTTAAACTTTGATAAGGGGACTTTTGGGGTGTGCAAGAAAGAGATACTTTTCCATCATAATGTTTCACACCGAATCACTGTGCATAGCACTGATGCAGTTAGGGAATGATTCACTTAAGACTAGCAGAACTGCATAGAACCACACGTAGAATGGTGGGAAGGTATATTTTAATTTATAAATTGGTTTGCTACGATGTCAAACTTAGATGAGGGGACCTTGTAGGAGTGTGTAAAAAGTTATATTTTTCCACTGAATCTGTGCACGTTGCACTGGTACATTTATCGAAAAGTTCGCTTAGAAAAAATTAGCCTTTTTATACGTAGATAATGGCGTTCTAAGAGATGAAATGTGTGAAATCTGATTGGGTGAGAGATGAGGTACATATTGGTTAATGTGAATATTCATGAAGTTGAGGTCTGTCATGTTTTTTTTCTGTTGGATTGATAGGGTGCCATAAGATCCATACCTTTGCAAAATGTTGCAACTGGAGGTTTCCACAGGGTCCAGGGAGTTGTGTAAATAATGTGAAGGGGGAGATGGGTTAGATATGGTCAGTAAAGTTTAAAGTTCAGTTACATAATGGAAGCTAATTTTGTCTCCCCTCGCGTGAAGTGGTACAGTATATACTGAAGTAGTGTCAAATCATCTCACGGTTGTTGGCACTGCACGAGCAGAGATTCAAACTTTTTTTGCAAATAGTACCCTAGGACTCAGCCCACAGGAAAGATTGATCTTTTTTCGTGGCATTTAAGTGAGTGCAGGAATTATAACGTATCCAACAAATGCATTATAGTTTTTGGCTAATCGATGGTGCAGAAAAAGAATTGCTCGATGGTATCTTCTGTAGGCCTTTTTCACCCACGTGACTGGATTGCGCTAAATGTAAACAATGCCACCACGTACGCGTGGACCGCCGTGGCCACGGTGATCGCGAGTATTCCTACGGGCAGCTTCAACCACGTGTAAGCGCAAGTGCGAACGCAGCATGCATGACTAGCTCATTTTGAGTACTAATACTATGCACTCATTACCACCACAACACACCGCGGTCCAGCCACGGACGTGTATAATAAAATGGACTCGCAATGCCCTAAGTCAGCTTATAGAGTCACTGTATCCACTCGCGGCCATTTCACCGAGCCGAATACAAAGCTTTCCTGGCAATGCCCGCCTTTGTTCTTCCTGAGGTCGATAAAAGGGAGCCAACCTTCGGCTCTGTAAAATGGCCGCTGATTGGCTTCTTTTTCATACAAAGGCGTTGCAAGTCCAGGTTTTTTTGTATACGTCCGTGGGTCCAGCGCGATTGTGACATCATAAAGGTCTTTTGAGGTTGTTAAATTGATTTGAATATAGAGACCGGTGCGAATATGAATCCAGATAGTCTGTACATAGGCCTAGTTGTTTGAAAAGAGTGTGATTTCTCTTGAAAAAGAACAACTCATCAAAGTTGGAAATTGGTCGAGGAGCTGAGAAATTTCATTGTCAGATAAGCACAATTTGTGTGTGTACATTTTTTTTCCGTAAAGGGTCAGCAAGTTGAATAAGATAAAAATTCGTGTTCTTTGCTTTATCCTCTAAATTACGTTTATGATTGTTTAGAAAGTTTGCAAGTGTGAAAAATTCTTGACAGTTGTAGGAACACATTATAAATGTCACAAATTATCAGGCCTACTCCATGAAAATATTCCATGGCCTGCCCTTTGTTAATGAGTCATTTCGTCGTTTCTTTTCTGTCCAAATCAAAAGTTCTTGTCTGAAACGTGGTGCTCTGTGTTGCAGTTATGTAACCTCTTCGGCTGCGAGGCAATCACAAGTCACAAAACAAGTTCAATCACATGCAGGCCAAATCATAGGTACATTTAAAGTCACGTGGCCAAATCAAATGTCAGTGCCATGTCAAATCACAGGCCAAATCATAGTCGAATCACTACCAAATTGTAAACTGTAGTCACGGGTCTAGTCACAAGCACATACAAGCCCACTGAAGTAGCTATGTGTATGGAATGACCAAAGATCGTATAGCGCTGAAGGCGCAGATGGATAACTCTGCCCAAAAGATGTAATTACCGTAAGCGCCATTTGAGCAAGCGTTACGCCTGCGCAGTTTACGGTAATGCTTGGGCGCAGGCTCGACAGGTGCACGTGCCTGCCGCAGCGCCTGCGCTCTGTCCATTAATGTGCATTGCGCACGCGTATTGCTTGCTCAAATGGCGCCCGTGCGATTACAACGTTTACGCGGCGCCATTTGATCTTTGGTAATGACAAACGATTCGATTACATGTACAAGTCTTTTTGTTGTTGAATATCGTACTTATTTTTCGTGTATACATTGCATAAACATAACGAAAATATCCACGTACAGGCCTACCCCTGGTCTTCTACGAACCTCGTTTGTACACGTAAATTCAAATTGCCCCTGGCTTTTAACAACAGTTGAAGAGAAGTTGTGTGCTTACACGAAAGGTGAAAGACAAGTGGAGTGGAGATGTTAGATGGTATTATCAGTAAATAGCTAAATTTGGAATCCATATCTGCGACTGACTTCAAATTATGTAGTAGTCATTCGGCTGCACCCGCGTAAGGTAATGAACTACTCTTCACTGTGAGATAAAAATGGTTGACGGTTCATCCCATTTTGAATTCGGGGTGGGAATGTTTTGACGATGACATCATTATGCAAATAAATCGTTGTACATTGTTAACTATATGATGGAAAACAGTCTTTAATTCTATTGTGTAAATATGGTATAATTCCACAAGTTTTGTACGTCCGTCCGATAAAAAAATATGTTTTCCCATTTTTTCCTCGTGTACAGTAGTGTTTGTGATTTAAACTTTAATAAATATGCACATTACCAGAAAGGTTAGTATATTTCCGCGAGTTGTTGTTTTGGTAGTCAGGCGTGCAGTTGGTTTTTGATTTATGTAAAAAATTCTTATTCCAAGCCTTGTTTGGACCCTTTCTTAGTAATTAAACCACCCGAGTATATCGTTCTGTTGCTAGTAATTTTTTTGTTCGAAATTTCTCGGGAAAAGTGGGCAATTAGTCAGCGTACAGGGAAAACCTTCAAACATTTGACCGGGGTCGCACGCCTCACACTGCGGCTTCTTCGATTCATGTCAAAAAGCTGCCGCTTGACAAGCATTTCCTGTGTCTTTTATGAAGAGCCATCAGGAATACGTCATCTTTCAATTCTAGGTTGCCAAGGTAATTTGTTCAACACACAAAAACACTCCACCGTATCCCTGCGATTTTGCAATGGATGTTTCATCAGACCTGTCAATGTGTAGAGCCAACAATAGAGCAACTAACGTCACATTCGGTTCTCGGCATACGCATGGCAACATCTTTTACTTGTAACACCGCCACTTACAAAACCTGATTCCGTGAAACGCCGCGCGAACAAATAAATGGTTAGAGTTCCGTTTCTTAAAATGAGCATGGCACGGTGTGCCGCTGGATAATTTCTCCCTTTCGAACGGAGGATACCTTCGCAAATTTCACTACATTTCAATAGCCTAAAACGGTTACGAAAACCTGTGCACTGCAGCTGGGGGGTGAAATTTCTCGGGGGCGCCCAGGAATACTTTTTGAAGGGGCACTGAAGAATTGTGGCTTAGCGTACATTCAAAAATTTCAGCTGGGGTGGGGGAACCGTGGGGACAAAAACCCCTCTTCCAGGGGCACATATCTTTCCCCGCACCACACCTGTCAAGTTTTTAAAAAAATGTATGTGCAGTGGGAAGTCAACCGGACAAGGGAGTCTCTATCTGAAATTTGTTTCTTGAATTTCAATTACATTTGGACCACGTTCCGATGATACCATTATCGAAGAAAACGCTTCAGTCTTGGGCATTCCTGGGATTTTGTTCAGGGGAGCAAACCACTTTTTCCCAAGGGGATGGGGATTTCGAGGTCGTTAGCTAAAAATGATAAACAATTAACGGCGGGGGGGGTCAGTTAAGAGGTGTTTTTTCCTTTTTCAAGACAATTTGTGATTTTCATCTCCTTTTGACTCTTTTTGTTTTCATTTTTTTTTTCAAACTACCCCTTTTTTGTTTTTCATTTTGTTGGGGGGGAGCTGGCAAGCGCCCCTCGGCACCCTCTCGACGCCCATGGCTCTCATCCGTCAAGTTCTATCGGACACGCGGTCCCTGTTTACATAGCCTTTACTCAATGAGCGCGTGGCTACCTGGACACATGACCCACGAGCAAGACGAAAACTGCGTGATGTGTCCAGGTAGCCACGCGCGCCTTGAATAAAGGATACTGTTTACGTAACAGTTGTACACGCGAACGATAATTTGCCCAAAAGGATTTGACGGGACGCAGTGAACTCAGTGTACTTTTAGCAAACGTAGGCCAGCCAGTCCTGTTTACGTGTGGAATGAAATACACTTTACGTCAAGGATGCATACACAAAACATTCAGAAATTTAGGCTAGTCATGGCATGAACATTTTCCGTCTCTTCCCAAGCATGTGCACAGTTCTATCGATTCTCCAACGTGTTTGTTTATTTTATTTTTCGAAAAACATCTTACTTCTTACATTTTTTCAGTGTATTTTAACATTAACCCTACTTCCTTATGGTTTATGTTGAGGACTGTTAGAGTTAATGTGTTAGACGGAAAAGTGTTAAATACTCCAGTCAAAATTGAACACGAAATGACTACGGCTTAATCGTCTTTCAGAATGACCCTGCAAGACTCCTGAAGTTTTGCTTGTTCACTTCGCCTCTACGTTAGCACATCACGCTGTGAAGCAACCATGTATAGTAGAGTTGGTGAGCGTATAATGCAGCTCCTCAACACAGGGAAGGCGAGAAATTCGAAAATTCTATAGACACGTTTCAGAATTGTGCTACCTTTTAGCAAGAAACTCTGCTTAATCCCCCATAATCAGTTGAAAATGATAAAACAGTAAAGAAACTTGCGTAAGACCAAAAATCACTATTTATGTGGCCAAGTGCGTCTTTGACCAAACTATGGTCATTATAATCCTATGCTAGAAATGACGCATCCTCGGTTTTGTTTGACAAATAGGTTTTGCCGCACATTGTAAATTCTATTCATTCAAAATGATAACGGTTAATTAAATTAACTTCAAAACTTCACCTTTGTCTCTAGAAGACTTGAACGCGCAAATGCTACAATGAATTTAATCATCGGTCATTCCACGTGATCAGTGGTCGATCTGTTTTTTGGCATTTGTCCATTTGACACCGTCAGATTTCAATAGAATTCGTCTCATACTCAACCAGTGATTATCTACATGATATAAGGATTAACTGAGGCTTTGTTCAATCAATTTCAAGAATGCCTCCCCCAGATGCATTGGATTGCGTACAACCACGCACAGACGTGTTTGGCACGGTGTAATGCAAGACAAGAAGCTGACGGCTGAACCGCTGAACTAGTCTACGGAACAAGAAGAACTGACTGGCTCAACTGTTTCTGAATGATGTGGAAATATGAATACACTTTGCTGTTCATACCTAAAGGCCTACTTATTTCTTGCATGAAATGGAAAGTATGCAGCTCCATTTGCCTTTTTATAGACCTTATTCCTTCCAGTTGTTGACGCATAAAATTGTCAAAGAACTAAACGGATACACAAAACAAGTAAATTTTGCAAACTAATAGATATGAAAAATGCTTACTTAAAGTTAAAGACCTTCTTTAAACACACACACACACAAATGCGGTAATTATGTTTGAAGTAGAAATGAGGATATGAAAATGTAAATATGCCAAAGAAAGCGTGTGATCGTGTGACGAATTTAAATGAAAATTGTGTGTAACAAGATAACGAAAATGCTTCATCTATCAAACGTCCGGCAACTGAGGACGACGAAATTGAATTGTCTCTCACGACAAAAGTATGGAAATGGATGAAATTGTTTAAACAAAGTAAAAAAAACTGAAAGACTTGAGACAAAATTGAACATGGGACATAAAAGGTCATGAATTTTTGAGATGAGGAGAATTTTAAGTTAACCGTTAATGAATTTGAGCAAAACTATTAATATGTGCGGAAAAGCTTAGCTATTAGCGATTTCACCTTATAGCTCGCTCGGTGAAATGCAAATTCATAAAATTACTACATCTGGGAAAGAAACACATGTCTAAATCAATTCAGCATTGTAACAAATTGTATTACCACGGCAACCGGCCAATATCCTTCCAGGTATCCGGATTAACAAAACCAATCAGGCTTGCGTAAGGTCAGTTACTTGCCACATGCGTCGTCTCACAAATTAAAGGGATGGGCAGTTGCAGTAGTAATGCGTAAGGGGAGGCGTCTGTTTTTTTTTAATGTTTTGTTTTTCTTTGTTTTATTGATGAGAAAAACACAAATAAACATATATTGGAAAGTAAAAGCACCAATCATCCAAAATTAAGGAAATTGGAAAGACAGGAGGTAATTGGAAAGTACAGAAAACACTCCAGATGAAGAAAGAAAAGGAGAGGGCCATGAAGAGATGAAGGGAAATGGTCACTCTACATGGACATGTACATTTGAAATGATTGCATAGGGTCTACAGAATTAGAATTGAAAATTCCATTTTGAATAATGAAGACTAAGGCTTTGATTTTACATAGCAATCTTATAATATATCATACTGATTTTGTAAAATAATCTTATGACACCCAAAAGGAAGGAATTTGAGTCTGGAATTTACATCTATAAATTTTAATTT